CTGTTCTGAGCAGGGCTGAAATAGAGGGGTTTATAGGCATGATCAAATACAGTAGAATTTGTTGAAAAGACGGATAATATGTGACCTTTAAGCCAAAAATAATTGCAATGATATGCAATACATTTCTGAAAATAATAAACACATTGTTGGTGTTCAGACTAATCTATAAATATTCTTTACTAATCTGTAATTTCAGACTGGAGTTGGAAGACGTGGAAATGAAGGCACAATTCTGCTCTCAAGCAGTTAATGAGGGAGTTTAACACCCAAATGGCTTGAAGGAGAAGGAGCTTGACACAGGAGTGAAGGAGACTATCGTGAGTCTTCATTCACACACATTCAACTTGTCGGAAATTTGTAGTGATGCACTGCAAACTCAAAGCTCAACCGGGTGTGTTCTCAATTTCTACCGGGCTAAAATTAGAGTTTTTGTTTTGTGTATATTACAGTAGGATACTGTAAGGGATTAAAATAATCGTCTTTTGTGTGTTGAAATCTTGTCTGTCCTGCTTGTGTTTTAAGCTTCCAACAACTTCCATCAAATAAAATCAAGTCACATGATTAACCATGTTAATGTACAACAGTAGGGTGGGATTACTACATGGAAACATGATGCGTTTTTTTTAACACAGGGTGGAACAAAATGAAGGGATCATTACATTTGGAACAGTGCGTCAAAGTGTTTCCTTGTTTCCTCTGTGGTTAAATCCTGATTCTTACATATGGGATGTGTCTGAGTGGTTTCGGAATATGATTTGGTTATTTAGTTTTCTTTTTTTTTGTGTGTGCTAACGCTGGCTTTGTTCCCCTTTCCCTTTTCGTCGACACAGCCAAAGCTCAGAGTGTGGAAGCAGAGCTCCTCAGCATCCACCGTGAAGAAGCGAGTCAACTGAAGAAGCTCATCGCCCAGAAGGAGGATGATTTGCACAGAACTGTTCAGAAATATGAACAAGTTTTACAGGTAAATTGACAAAGCTTTAACATATATTTACTAAACTCAGATCCTCAGATTAGGGACGGTTGGTGGCTTGTACAAAGTTTCTTTCCTTTATTGTATTACAACATCATTAAGGGCTGGAAATAAGACAATGACATGATGGAGGGATTCGACCGACATACTTGAGTCATGATGCTGAGATGAAACACAGGAAATGACTCGACCGTTCTGTTTCTCGTTTGTTTCAGAGTCGAGAGGAGGAGATGGGAGACCGAGTGTGGCAGGTCCAGAAAGAACTGGAGGAGCTGCAAGGAAGGTGCCAGGGCACTACTGAGGTACACACATCTGACTCACTGTAGACCTTCAACAGGTCATCAAACATATCTGACTCACTGTAGACCTTCAACAGGTCATCAAACATCTCTGACTCACTGTAGACCTTCAACAGGTCATCAAACATATCTGACTCACTGTACACCTTCAACAGGTCATCAAACATATCTGACTCACTGTACACCTTCAACAGGTCATCAAACATATCTGACTCACTGTAGACCTTCAACAGGTCATCAAACATATCTGACTCACTGTAGACCTTCAACAGGTCATCAAACATATCTGACTCACTGTACACCTTCAACAGGTCATCAAACATCTCTGACTCACTGTAGACCTTCAACAGGTCATCAAACATATCTGACTCACTGTAGACCTTCAACAGGTCATCAAACATATCTGACTCACTGTAGACCTTCAACAGGTCATCAAACATATCTGACTCACTGTAGACCTTCAACAGGTCATCAAACATATCTGACTCACTGTAGACCTTCAACAGGTCATCAAACATATCTGACTCACTGTACACCTTCAACAGGTCATCAAACATATCTGACCCACTGTACACCTTCAACAGGTCATCAAACATATCTGACCCACTGTACACCTTCAACAGGTCATCAAACATATCTGACTCACTGTACACCTTCAACAGGTCATCAAACATATCTGACTCACTGTACACCTTCAACAGGTCATCAAACATATCTGACTCACTGTACACCTTCAACAGGTCATCAAACATATCTGACTCACTGTACACCTTCAACAGGTCATCAAACATCTCTGACTCACTGTACACCTTCAACAGGTCATCAAACATATCTGACTCACTGTACACCTTCAACAGGTCATCAAACATATCTGACTCACTGTACACCTTCAACAGGTCATCAAACATATCTGACCCACTGTAGACCTTCAACAGGTCATCAAACATATCTGACCCACTGTAGACCTTCAACAGGTCATCAAACATATCTGACTCACTGTACACCTTCAACAGGTCATCAAACATATCTGACTCACTGTAGACCTTCAACAGGTCATCAAACATATCTGACTCACTGTAGACCTTCAACAGGTCATCAAACATATCTGACTCACTGTAGACCTTCAACAGGTCATCAAACATATCTGACTCACTGTAGACCTTCAACAGGTCATCAAACATATCTGACTCACTGTAGACCTTCAACAGGTCATCAAACATATCTGACTCACTGTACACCTTCAACAGGTCATCAAACATATCTGACTCACTGTACACCTTCAACAGGTCATCAAACATATCTGACTCACTGTAGACCTTCAACAGGTCATCAAACATATCTGACTCACTGTACACCTTCAACAGGTCATCAAACATATCTGACTCACTGTACACCTTCAACAGGTCATCAAACATATCTGACCCACTGTAGACCTTCAACAGGTCATCAAACATATCTGACCCACTGTACACCTTCAACAGGTCATCAAACATATCTGACTCACTGTACACCTTCAACAGGTCCAAAGGTGTCAAAAGTATTCACATTCATTACTATATAAGTATAGATACTAGGGTTTAAAAAGACTTCTGTAGAAGTTGAAGTATCAACTCGAGCTTTTTACTCCAGTAAAAGTGTAAAAGTACTGGTTTCAAAACTACTTAAAGTATGAAAGTAAAAGTAATGTAAGGGGGAGAAAAAAATGTCATTAAGGACAAAAGCTTAGGCCGCGCCACAGGGGCCTATAGTGCACTACCCCACCTCCCAAAAAAACATTTTTCTAAAGGCCATAATGACTATAATGTTATATTAAAATGTTAATGTTGAAAAATGGGTGGGTGTCGGAATGGTATATATTTATACTTCTCATCCAACCACAATAAAATTCACTCTATCCGGATGGCGTGATTTAACTGGATAGGTTTTTTGTTTTTTTTTAACGATAACAAGCCGGAATGAAAACAAGCCGAACTAAGATAGGAGTAACGAGGCTGTTGTTCAAATGCAAGGAGAAGAAAGTACAGATAATTGTGTGAAAATGTAAGGAGTAGAAGTAAAAAGTCGGCTGAAAAATAATTACTCCAGTAAAGTATAGATACCCAAAATTTCTACTTAAGTAAGGTAACAAAGTATTTTCACTTAATTACTTGACACCTCTGAACAGGTCATCAAACATCTCCCACACACTGTTCACCTTCAACAGGTCATCAAACATCTCTGACCCACTGGTCACCAAACATTTCTGATTGGCGTCACAACTGCTCGATGTATCACAGACATTTTTTCCGCTTCAACAGATGTAGAAACTGGTACCTGCAGCTATTAAAGTCCATTATATTTCCAGACTGGAGCTTGAGATTGGATTTATGTAGTGATTCTAACTAAATCATAAGTCATTTCAAAAATGGCTGAATGAAATCATTTCTTTTTGGCTCCCTCTGGAACAGGTCTGATAGAAACATTACGAGTTTTGAATGATGGCCTAATAATCCAGACGCACTTTTTTGTATCCGCACACCCCCTTCATTCAGACATCTTAATATTTAAAAAGTTCACATCCAGGTTAGCAGACAGTCGTTGCTTATCTCTTTTCTTTTGTCTTGCCCTCGTAATTGAAGGATTCCCGAATTAGAGCTCAGGGACATATGTTGCTCTGATTGGTCTCTCGCTCTGGTCGTGTGGCCGCTCTCCAAAGCGCGTCCGATCCTTGCGGAGCTCGTTTGAATCGCTCAGGAATGTCCTCCTTTGGGGAAAACGGAGATTGTGAGGCAGCAGCCGGCCTCGATCTCTGTTCTCAATTATCATCATACGAGGTGATTCTACGCCTCGGATTTATTCCTCAAGAATCACTCACGTGTCTGATGTGCAAACTTCTCCAGGGAGATATTTCTGGCCCTGTGTTGAGGTGCAGTCAGACCCCTGCGATGATTCTTCTACCTTCACACCGTGTCCAGATGCACACAAAACTTATAGAGTTACGCTGCTCGCTCTGCTGCATTTTTCCCCAGTGAGGTAATATCTTTATGGGTGAATTGTATGGGCTTAAGCTCGAGGACGCTTTCCCCTCACAACGGGCCTCAAGAACCATTTTTCATTCAGACAGTGGGTCAGCGCCCCCCCCTCCACACACACACACACACACACACACACATACACACAACCCTCCACCCCCCATAAAGGAGACCGCAGACCAACACTCTTAAGAAGTACACGTCGAGTTTAGTCTGTTTGTGTAGACGCAACAAACAGTCCTTTAATGTCATTGTGTCATTAAAACACAAAGCAGATGGGATTACAAAGTGTTGTTATTATTCAGGAATACCTTAAAAACACCAAGAACATGCTGAAAGTGCTCCCTGAAAGACGAGCTGTCAGCAAGTTAAAACACTAAATATTTAAAATCCACCCTAACCTCTAACCCTCTTGTGTTGCTCGTTGTTGTTTACCAATAAATGCTGCTTGTAGAACTATTGTAGAAAAGCAGACTTATAAACCGGGCACTGCTGTGCTACATTAAAATGAGTACAGCTCTAATTATCGTTAGCCTATGACACATAATAACTTTATAAAGCACCATTAAAAACAGATGTTTACGAAGGACTGTGACAGACGAAGCAAAGCCTAAACTCAGGACAACAACAGGACAGACATGGGGCACCGGTGACCTAGTGGTTAGTGCGGCGCCCCATGTACAGAGGCTACCGTCCTGTCTTGAAATAAATGCACTAAAAGCCCCCCAAAAAACTGAGACACCCAAAGATTCCCAGTCAGTATAGTTATCCTTTAAAGCTAAACTGCAGACGCTTTTATCCAGAGCAACGTACATCAGAGAGTAAGAACAACACAAGCAAGGATCTAGAAAAGAAGAAACATCAGGAAGTGCAAACAAACAGCTTTAGGTCCGATTGGACACACAGGTGCTGACAGGAAGTGATCAGAGGCAGAGCACAACTTCGATGGCTGTTCTTCAGAGCTCTAATCAGCATCTAAAACATCTTAAAACCATCATCATCATCAAATCATGAAGGTCGTAGGTGTTCATAAAGAGCTGGGTCTTTAGCTTTTTCTTAAAGGTGCAAAGAGACTGCAGATCGAATGGCGTTTGGTACTTTGTTTCACCACCAGGGGGCGCAGATTTATTATTAAGTCAATAAATATCATGCCCTAACAGACTGACTGAGTGTATATTACTATATTTCCTGCTGTTGCATATTGCTCCTGTTTAATAATTCTATAATAACAAACAGTATATTTCCTTTTTTCCCTTTTCTTTATCTGGGCCCAGATGACCTCAGAAGAACTTCAGGTATGTCTGCTTTATCCCCTGTTCCTATGGCTCACATCAATTCAACACGTAACCATAGTAACGCAGCAGTTTAAACAAGAAAACATGGATTTCTGATAAGAATGTATTGTTTGTGTTCATCACTGACGTAAACATTTCCTCCTCCTCGTTGTCCCCTCCTCAGGCTCAGCTGGCCGAGAAGACGACTCTGCTGAGCGAGGCTCGGCTGAAGGAGCAGGGCTTTGTGGAGAGAGTGAGTGTCGAGCTGCGTGTGTGTGCCGCTCTGTGTGTGTGGTGGGGGGGGGACAAGCGAAAAAGAAAATCCCATGCAGCGTATTCCCAGGATTGTGTGGCCTCCAGCGAGAGCGCAGAAGCTCTCCTGCTGCATCGACTTAATCGCACAGCACATCTGTTTACATTTGGTTTAACCCTATAAACAATCAGAACGACGCCTCCCACAGCTTTTCTCACACACATCGTCATTCTCACAAACATCCCTCGAGGAGGATCCACAAATGCCGAGCTGATGTCCCCCCTGCAACAATTAGCCTTATGTATAGAATTAACCCACAGGGGGTTAAGTAGCTTTTTTTAAATGATTAATCCGTGTGTGCTTGTTTGTTTCTCCACGCTAGATTCGCTCGCTTGAGGACAAGATTAAATGTTTCCACCGGAGCACCGTTGTAACTCATCTGGGGAGTACTTTCAAAGGTAATGTTGACGCTGTGAATCACTTAGTTCTGCTTCTAGAGCCTATTTCCTTTTTTTTAGATGAGCAAAGCAAAGATGCCGTACAGAATGCTTTAACACAACACGATACCATGGGACACTTAAAAACTCCTCTACATACTCCTATAGCACATCTAGGTTGTCTAACTGTTACATGCAGTACACATCAGGATATATTGTGTTGACATATGAATTTTATAGTTAAAGTCCCAAGAGCCTCACTGCTCTGTAGAGTTTCAGTGCTTTGACAAACTACCAGAAATCTGCAAGGCCCAAAATCTCTTCATGGATCAGAGATGCAGATCCCGAGCGATGACAAGTGGGCGTTTGACTTGGTTACAAGATGCTCTCGAGGAGATCCCCCTCCCCCAAGTGTGGTTTTAGTCTTGATGAGAACTGCAGTTATAATAACGGTTTGGTGAAGGTCAGAGTGAGGCTTAAATGTCTTAACCACAGTGGTCATGGTTATGGTAAGCCTCTAGGTGCAGACTTTACCTCAAAGCAGTGTCCTCAGGAATGTCATAAAGTGAACATGCTGTGAGGACTTCATGGGTCAGAAATCAACCGACCTGAACCTTAATGGACCCTAGAATGTAGTCCAAGCCCTGATCCCTTAGTATGTAAAGAGTTTTCTACCTGATCAAGTTTTGGGTGAGATATGAAAAAGACTTCATCATAAGTATCTGTTAGGTGGGGGTTGTTTCTGTAGTAGATGAACAATGATGAAATCGTGAAACAGACTGTGGATCATCTTAGATTTATTCAGCCATGGTCAGACAACACAGAAACACAACACATATGGCTGACAAAGTGCAGACCATCGCTGACCCATGCTGACCAAGATCTCACAATCATTGACAGACATTGACAAAGTCTTCATCTTCACAGTGTTGATTATATTCTACTAGAAGGTACAGACCACAAATTCCTGGCTGCTTTGGTTCATCTCTAAAAGGCCAGAAAGAAGTCATCACCTTGACTCGTAAATATCAGACGTATACATTTCTTCAGTCTCAGAGTCACATTTCCTTCTCTGCTCACAACAGACACTTGGCTCCAATCCAAATATAACTCTGCTGCTATGAGGTCTCTTACACATATGTATTACAGCTTCACAAACCTAAAAGAAGAATTACTCTGATGGTTGACACAATTCAAAGATATATCCACAAAATTATCAAGATGAATGAATTCATGAAAATACGTACTAACAGTATCGTTTCCCAATCTTTCTTTGTTTTTCCGGTTGTACCTGTCCTCTCAGCCCACTACTTCTCTTAAACATAGCTTGATTGCCTTTTGTAATAAACATCCACACGGCCGTTTTGGACGCCCCTCGGTTTGCCAGATATGAGAGCAGTTATCAGGTCAACAGGTGTTGCAGCGATGGAAGCGGGTCAAGAGAAGTGGTTCAGATAGAAGTGATTGTACCCGTCCTGAAAAGCCTGAAGCTTCAGAGTCCACCACATGGCAACGTGTCTTGGGAGGAGTTGGCGGGGGAAAACGGTTCTCTCCAATGTTTTGAATTTGGACTGCAGTACCCATTATAAACACTAGGGCCAGAGTTACATATTGCTCCTTTAACAGTCTGGTTCATGTTGTATTGTTGCACACATTAGCACTTAGCGTCCTTTCTGTTGGTTTCACTCGGTGTTGGCGCTCAACTTATTTACTTTCACTTTGGTAAAGATGCTTTGAATGTTTTTGCTTTGTCATCCTAGTCTTGCTATCAGTATTAATCAGGGGTCTTCTTGGACCCTCTAAGGTATTTACTCATAATGACAAACAGACCTGAACTCACGGTTAAAGAATGGGACTGACCTGGACCCAAATCATCATAGTAAATGATGGTCCTGAACCTGTACAGGTCACAGGTTGGGGGTCTCGTGTTGTTTGAAGACCTCTGAGGGAGATTGGTGTAGTGATGGGCAGATTGAGTGAATGTTACCCCCCCTTCTCCTCTCCTCTCCTCCCTGCTGGTGTAATAAAGAGAATCTGCTGTCAGAAGGGGGGTAGGGGGCGGTGAGGAAGCCATGCTCGGATTTAATGGCTTTTGCAGATTGTGGTCTTGACGTGTCCTGCTGGAAATACTTCTCAATCCACTGGTTTAAATCCAAAGTTATAGTAGTTTTATAAGAGTGAGAGTGCTCTCCAATCATATTCAGCCTCCTTAAATCGAGGTCATGCACGCTTTCAGGTAAGAAAAAGTTAATCAGAAGGCGTTTGACATTTGGTTTCTTGTCTGTAGCTTCCTGCCCTGGTGGGATTTAAAGCTCA